AGACCTCATGATTCCCCTCATAAACCCACCTCACAACATTGTTTATTGACAGTGTACATGGCCCCATCTTTTAGCACAACCAAGGCCATAAAACTCATCAAGTAGACATCGCCATCGGCAAAAATGAAAACAAAGACCTAATCCATCAACGTGCACAGTTCTGGGCAAGTCTCTAAATGTACTAACCTTGCTTTTTGCTTCTGTAGTTCTACTTCTGGTTAACTGTTCTTGTTAACTGAGGTGTGTCAAGCTAGGACGTGCTTTTTGAGCTTTCAAGTTCATCCTGAGAAAGGCTCAGGGCTACAGTGGGATCCTAAGCCCTCAGTATAGTCACCAGCCATCTCCTGAAGGATCCTTTGGCTTAAACCCATTTCTGAGCAGTCTTCTTTGAATACCCCACAACAAGAGCAAGTCTTCAACAAATTACCCTCTCTGAGCAGCATTAAAAAGAATGCTTTTGGGGTAGACATTGAAAGTCACCATAATCTCATGTCCTGGTCCTAAGGAAGCTCTGACTCTCTGCTTTTCTCGCTCTCTGAGAACATGTCTTTCTTTCCTTCTTTCTTCTGAGACAGGATTTCCCTGTGTAGCACCCTGGCTGTCCTGGGACTTACTCTGTAGACCAGGCTGGCCTCCAACTCAGAGATCCAACTGCCTCTGCCTCCTGAGTGCTGGGATCAAAGGTGTGCACCCCCACCAAGATCACCATCATCACTGCTACCAACAATCACCATCACCACCATCACCATCACCACTGCTACCAACAATCACCACCACCACTATCACCATCACCACCATCACCACGCCCCTACAAACTTGTGGCCACCTGCTGGGATCCCAGAGTGGACCTGACGAGAGTCCATCCTGATCAGGATTTCATGAAAACTTGCTTCAAATGTGGCTTACAATTGTGGAACTGGTCTTTCTGTCAAGAATCTCAGGATTAACAATAATTAAATCTTTTTTTTCTCCTGGAAGTGTTTTATGTTGAATGGAGAAGAATGGGAGTCTTGAACATGACAGGATTATATTAACCTCTAGTGAGCCAGCAATAATTTAGGAAGCCAGGATGCTAGACAATCAATGGCCACCAAGCCACCCTGAGGTAGTGGCCTCCAGGTGCCTTGTCTCATGAATTTGAAGAATGAATTTAATGGAAGGGAGTTTCCCATAGGAGCGTTACTATAGGTGAGAATTTAGACAGGAAGTGAGCATCTCCCATGTAGCTGGAAAGGGGATTGTGCAGCAGGCCCTGGGCTCAATCCCTAGCACTTCAAATAAATAGTTAAACAAATAAATAAACGCTCCATACTGGTTTTACGACCAAAATTGTTAATTTAAATAACCTCTGACACATCCTCTTAGAATTTTCATAATACATAATTGTTAAAAATCAAACAAACAAACAAAAAGGGACAGTATCTTATGTCATAACAAAAGGCATCTCCACTCCACCCTGGAGATTTCCAGGCCTGGAGCTATTTTTCTGGAATTAGAGGGATGGGGAATCCCTTCACTCTCTAGTTCCCACAGAAGAGTGGCAGCCCTCTGCTCAGCCCCACCCCCTCTACCCTCAAGTGGCCCCAAATCCTCTCTGAAAGGGTTCAGTTCAAGTATCAGCACAGCAGCCTGGAAGACTTGGGATAAGGCAGAGTATGGAAGGCTTAGATGAACTGTCCTGACTGCGGCAGGACCACATCGCCCCACACATAAATTAGCTGGGACGTAACTACCCTAGATTGTCCCATTTGAGGTTAGATCAACCCCAGACATGAACTAAGACTCCTCAGAGCTCTTGGATTAGTCACAGCATTGAAGAGAAGATTTCACGGAGGGAGCTACACCTGGCAGGGAGTCTGGAGTTTCTGGTTTGGAAGCTCAGGGAGGCGGGAGGCAGGGGAGGGGCCTCCAGTTAGTGGGAGGGCTGGTGACTGGAGCTGAGCCCCAGTCAGCTGTGCGGCCCAGGCCTGTGGAAGCCCAGACCGTCCAGGACAAAGGATATCAACAGTCTCCTGAATTCACGCAAGGGGACACTCCACTTGGGTCACCTCCACTGCTGCTCACTGCGTTTGTCATTCTGAGGTCTCTGCTTATCCTACACCCCAAAGATGGAGGTACTGCTGGGAGTAAAAATTGGCTGCCTGCTTGCCCTTCTGGTTCTCACCCTGGGCTGTGGCCTCACTCCCATCTGCTTCAAATGGTTCCAGATGGATGCAGCTACAGGTATAGCCC